CTCCGGCCCCGGGACCCCCGCCCCCGCCAGCATCCGCGTGGGTGAGCGGCCGCCCCGGAGGGGGCTCGATGCAAGCAGCCCCCCCACAGCCCCCTTCACCCCCTCTAATCCCCTCTGCAGCCCCTCTGCACAGCACCTACCACGAGGACGGGCCACCCTCCTACTATGACAACCAGGACTTCCCCTCGGCGCACTGGGACGACAAGAGCATCCGTCAGGCCTTCATCCGCAAGGTGGGACCGCGCTGCGCCGGGGGGCACCGGGGGGGGTGCTCAAGGGACACCCGCCGTGACCCCTGCCCATCCCCCAGGTGTTCTTGGTGCTGACCCTGCAGCTGAGTGTCACCTTCGCCTTCGTGGCTGTCTTCACCTTTGCCAAGAGTGTGCGGGGCTTCGTGCAGCGCAATGTCTGGACCTACTACGTGTCCTACGCTGTCTTCTTCATCTCTCTCATCGTCCTCAGCTGCTGCGGGGATTTCCGCCGCAAGCACCCCTGGAACCTGGTGGCCCTGGTGAGCTGGGGCTGCTGAACAGCCCGTGGAACGTGAGCCAGCATGTGCCCAGGGAACCAAGAGGGCCATCAGCATCCTGGCCGGTGTTGGAAATAGTGTGGCCAGCAGGAGTAGGGAGGTGGTTGTCCCTCTGTGCTGGGCACTGGTGGGGCTGCACCTTGAATCCTGGGGTCAGTTTTGGATGAGAATAGGGACATGGAGGGGCTGGAGCGTGTCCAGAGAAGGGCCATGGAGCTGGGGAAGAGGCTGGAGCAGAAGGAGAAGGGGCTGGAGAACTTGTGAGGAGCAGCTGAGGGAGCTGGGGGTGCTGATCCTGGAGCAAAGGAGGCTGAGGGGAGACCTGCTGGCTCTGCAGCTGCTGAGAGGAGGTTGGAGCCAGGGGGGTCGGGCTCTGCTCCCCAGGAACAAGCCCTGGGCCAAGAGGGAACGGCCTCAAGTTGTGCCAGGGGAGGTTGAGGTTGGATCTTGGGAACAATTCTTTCCTGGCAAGGGTTGTCAGGGCCTGGCCCAGGCTGCCCAGGGCAGGGGGGGAGTCCCCATCCCTGGAAGGATTCAAGGAACGTGTGGACATGGCGCTCCAGGACGTGCTGCGGCAGCCATGAAGTGTTGTGGTGTTGGTGGTTTGGGTTTTCCCCCGGGTGGGCGGTTGGAGTCAGTGATCCTGGAGATCTTTTCCAACCATGACGATCCCATAATCCTGTTCTGGGGGCATCACTAGGCTGTGGGGACCAACCAGAGAGGGAGGAACTGGGGGAACTGGTGTGACAGGTGGTCCCTCTGCCCCCCAGTCCATCCTGACTGTCAGCCTGTCCTACATGGTGGGGATGATCGCCAGCTTCTACGACACTGAAGCTGTCATCATGGCCGTCGGCATCACCGTTGTCGTCTGCTTCACTGTCGTCATCTTCTCTCTGCAGGTCAGCCTGGGGGACACACAGACAGCTGGGGAGGGGGCTCTGAAGTGGGCCTATGACCCCCCAGTTCTTAGATGGGTTAGGGGCTCCAAAGTAGGCACATGACCTGGGGGCTCCAAAGCAGGTGTATGACCCCCCCAAGCTGGGGCTGTGGGCTCTGAACCAGTTGTGTGGTTCCATGGTGGGTCTGGGGGCTCCAAACCAGGCATGCAACCTCCCTGGCTTAGTGGTGGGGCTGGGGGCTCCAAATGGGGTACATGACCATGGGGCTGCAGGCTCCAAACAGGACATACAACCCCCCAGGGTCTATGGTGGGGGGCTCCGAATGGGGTGTATGACCCACAGCTCCATGGTGGGGCTGGGGGCTCTGAACCAGGTGAACCCCCTGCTGCCTGGAGCTGGGAGCTCCAGCAGGGCATACGACCCCTTCTCAATTCCCCCCCAGACCAAGTATGACTTCACCTCGTGCCGGGGTGTGCTGATCATCTGCCTCGTCGTCCTCATCCTCTTCTCCATCCTCTGCATCTTCATCCGGAACCGCATTGTGGACATTGTCTACGCCTCCCTGGGGGCCCTGCTCTTCACCTGCGTGAGTCCACTGGATCCTGGGGGAGGATCTGGGATCTGGGGAGCAGTGGGATCCAGGGGCAAGAGCTGGGATCCTGGGGGATGATCTGGGATCCAGGGGAGCAGCTGGGATCCATGGGCAAGAGTTGGGATCCTGGGGGATGATCTGGGATCCTGGGGGATTAACTGGGATCTGGGGAGCAACTGGGATCCTGGTGGAGCCAGGGGGGTCGGGCTCTGCTCCCCAGGAACAAGCCCTGGGCCAAGAGGGAACGGCCTCAAGTTGTGCCAGGGGAGGTTGAGGTTGGATCTTGGGAACAATTCTTTCCTGGCAAGGGTTGTCAGGGCCTGGCCCAGGCTGCCCAGGGCAGGGGGGGAGTCCCCATCCCTGGAAGGATTCAAGGAACGTGTGGACATGGCGCTCCAGGACGTGCTGCGGCGGCCATGAAGTGTTGTGGTGTTGGTGGTTTGGGTTTTCCCCCAGGTGGGCGGTTGGAGTCAGTGATCCTGGAGATCTTTTCCAGCCATGACGATCCCATAATCCTGTTCTGGGGGCATCACTAGGCTGTGGGGACCAACCAGAGAGGGAGGAACTGGGGGAGCTGGTGTGACAGGTGGTCCCTCTGCCCCCCAGTCCATCCTGACTGTCAGCCTGTCCTACATGGTGGGGATGATCGCCAGCTTCTACGACACTGAAGCTGTCATCATGGCCGTCGGCATCACCGTTGTCGTCTGCTTCACTGTCGTCATCTTCTCTCTGCAGGTCAGCCTGGGGGACACACAGACAGCTGGGGAGGGGGCTCTGAAGTGGGCCTATGACCCCCCAGTTCTTAGATGGGTTAGGGGCTCCAAAGTAGGCACATGACCTGGGGGCTCCAAAGCAGGTGTATGACCCCCCCAAGCTGGGGCTGTGGGCTCTGAACCAGTTGTGTGGTTCCATGGTGGGTCTGGGGGCTCCAAACCAGGCATGCAACCTCCCTGGCTTAGTGGTGGGGCTGGGGGCTCCAAATGGGGTACATGACCATGGGGCTGCAGGCTCCAAACAGGACATACAACCCCCCAGGGTCTATGGTGGGGGGCTCCGAATGGGGTGTATGACCCACAGCTCCACAGTGGGGCTGGGGGCTCTGAACCAGGTGAACCCCCTGCTGCCTGGAGCTGGGAGCTCCAGCAGGGCATACGACCCCTTCTCAATTCCCCCCCAGACCAAGTATGACTTCACCTCGTGCCGGGGTGTGCTGATCATCTGCCTCGTCGTCCTCATCCTCTTCTCCATCCTCTGCATCTTCATCCGGAACCGCATTGTGGACATTGTCTACGCCTCCCTGGGGGCCCTGCTCTTCACCTGCGTGAGTCCACTGGATCCTGGGGGAGGATCTGGGATCTGGGGAGCAGTGGGATCCAGGGGCAAGAGCTGGGATCCTGGGGGATGATCTGGGATCCAGGGGAGCAGCTGGGATCCATGGGCAAGAGTTGGGATCCTGGGGGATGATCTGGGATCCTGGGGGATTAACTGGGATCTGGGGAGCAACTGGGATCCTGGGGGGTGAGTTGGGATCTGGGGGGATCAGTTGAAATCCCAGGGAATGAGCTGCGAACCAGGGGGATCAGTGGGGATCTGGAGAACAGCTGGGATCAAGTGGGATCGGCTGGGATCTGGGGGGAGCAGCTGGGGTCTTGGGGGATGAGCCAGGAATGAAGGGGAGCAGCTGGGATCCAGGGGGATCAGTTGGGATCCCAGAGGATGAGCCTGGAACCACGCTCAGCTGGGATTTGGGGAGTACCTGGGATCCACAAGGATCAGCTGGCATCTCTGGCAGGGATGAAGCAGGATCCCTGGTGAGGATGAGCTGGGTTCTGGGGGTCAGCAGGGATCAGATGGGATCCCAGAGGGAAATCAGTCATGATCTGGGGGGGGATGAGAGGGCGATAACCTGTGATCTGGGGGATGAACCAGGATCCAGGGGGCTGAGTTGGGATCAGGGGATGAGCTGGGATCTGGGGTATCAGCCAGGATTTAGGGGATAAGCTGGGATCTGGGAGATGAGCTGGGATTTGGGGGATGAGCCAGGATCCTGGGAGCTGGACTGGGATTTCCTGGGGAGGCTGACCTGGGATCCAGGGTGGGGCTGAGCCGGGATCTCTGGCGTCTCTGCTGTGGATGGAGGGGCACAGGACCCGGGCCTAGCTGGGGCGTGACAGGGGGCAAACACCACACTCGTGGGGTGTTTGTGTGTCCGTGGGGTGCCCGTGTGTCCTTGGGTGCCCCAGGATCCTGGGAGCTGGACTGGGATTTCCTGGGGAGGCTGACCTGGGATCCAGGGTGGGGCTGAGCCGGGATCTCTGGCGTCTCTGCTGTGGATGGAGGGGCACAGGACCCGGGCCTAGCTGGGGCGTGACAGGGGGCAAACACCACACTCGTGGGGTGTTTGTGTGTCCGTGGGGTGCCCGTGTGTCCTTGGGTGCCCCCAGCCCCCCCCCCCCCACAGTTCCTGGCAGTGGACACACAGCTGATCCTGGGGAACAAGCAGCTGGCACTGAGCCCCGAGGAGTACGTGTTTGCAGCGCTCAACCTCTACACGGACATCATCAACATCTTCCTCTACATCCTGGCCATCATTGGCCGGGCCAAGGAGTGACCCCCCACCCCCCGGGACC